CCAAGGAGGAAACCTTCAGGTATGGGCTCCCAACATCCATCAAAATACGTAAATTGCAATCTTCCATGGTGACATCACAAAAGCTGGCCCAGGGCCTGGTGATAATGGGGACAATCCGACTATGTGCCACTCTGAATATATTTTGCTTCTGTGTGTTATGGTAACCTGAGCACCATTCATTCATTAGCATTTATATACTGCTGAATATTCCTGTAAAGAGGTGTGTGTGAATCTGAACTTATGATATGGTATATCTCTGTTGATCATGGCATTAATAATAAGGTTGGCAGAACTCCAATACGACACAAGACCCTCCATGATGAGCTTTGGTGACCCTGGAACAAACCTGATTCCAGCCTCCTCCTACAAGGCATGCAGGCATACCCAGAGTTCACCCATATCTGACCTGAAGATTAACACATGCAAATTTAGTTGCCACATACAGTGTACTCAACTTCTCAATGGGAGCCATCAGCACAATGACCAGGTGATCTGAATGCAGGTAGCAGACAGAGATGGCCAGATAATGACTTACTATCAAAGTCCTTCACCCTTTTGTTAAACGAACAGGATGGCCAGTTTTCAGTCATTTTCTCACTAGGATGGGCAAGGTGAGAAATGCGCAGGAACCCTGGGATAAAGAGAGGAATTTCTCATCTCAAAACCCCTCCTGTCCCTACTAGGAAGCATTATCCAAGAATGTTATTTATACCCCATACTTTCTGGTAGTTATACTTTCCTTCTCCCTTCTCCCCACTTCTAGTGTCGGGTTATAGCAAAATTCTCATGCCCACATTTCTACAGGCCTTTAAAAATAGTTAGGGAATCTTTTAATATTTAATTAAGGTGTGTATGTATTGTAGAATTTGCTACCTCATCAAATTGTAACTTTGCTGTCCCAAGCCGCATTTATATACATATTATTGAAGCAGCATTTACATATATTCTGACACTCCTATTTCATACAATAAACTAAGCTTTCTTTGCTCCTCTCTGTGAGAGAGCTCCTTGTGGGCATAAGGTTACGGGTTAACACGTTCATAACAAGCACCAGCAAAAGATCCTAAACTTTTCAGCAGTGTGTTTATGAACATACATGAGTGCTGGCTGCACACAGGTGAGTCCAGGCACACACACCTGCAATCCTTTCAAAAGTCTCTAAACAAATTCCTGTTGCAATGGCACTAACAACTGGAAAGGGGAATTATTAGTGCTGCAAGCCTCTCTGTGAACCAACACTGCTAAACAAAGATCAGGGGTGCCGATGTCCTGCAGAAATATCCCACAAGAAAACACGACTCTTTAATTACAAAGTATACCATTAAGTACAGTAATGTGATTCCGTAGGGCACTGTGAGGGATGGAAGCTAGAAGTGTTTTCCTGTATTTCTGGTAGCATACTGTACTAGCAACTGCTGGCAAACACACTTCTTTTATTTATAGCAACTCTTGTACATCGGTAGACATCTCGAGGGCAGAACTAGATGTCAAGAGGAGAAAACAAGGCTCCCAACCCTGTGTTTCCCTCAGAATGTGGGTGTTATGGGTGCTGCATATCACTTGCAGGGGAGAAGTAATGATACTGTTATAAGAATTTAAAGGTCTTAAAGGTAAAGGGACCCCTGACCAATAGGTCCACTCGTGACTGACTCTGGGGTTGCGGCGCTCATCTCGCTTTATTGACCGAGGGAGCCAGCGTACAGCTTCCGGGACATGTGGCCAGCATGACTAAGCCACTTCTGGCAAACCAGAGCAGCGCACGGAAACGCCGTTTACCTTCCCACCAGAGCGGTACCTATTTATCTACTTGATTTCGAACTGCTAGATTGGCAGGAGCAGGGACTGAGCAACGGGAGCTCACCCCATCGCGGGGATTCGAACCTCCGACCTTCTGACCAGCAAGTCCTAGGCTCTGTGGTTTAACCCACAGCGCCACCTGCGTCTTAGATATGTAATAAATGTTCATAAATGTAACAAGCAAACACGTGCATAAATATATAAACCACATGTCTGAAACCCCACAGAAAAAAAGGCCTGAACAAATTGACCTTAAATATTTCTCTGCAAGGCCCAAGTGGGAAACCTCCCCATTGTCTCTTTCTTCACAAATCCTGTCTTAAGGGCACATTTTAAGATATGAAGAGGATGTGAGCCTGTGACCTGGCTCAGGAACGAAGTATTTATCATTACAAAAGACTGGCCAGGCTCCCCTGGTAATCCAATCAAGTGACCATTAAACAGGTAACCTGCCAGACAGGAAAGAAACAAGGCACTCAGATTTCTGTTTTAGACTGCCTTTTCTGTGTTGTATGTATGATGCTTCTGGGGGTGGTCTTGGACTTGAGGGTGGGCAACTTTAAATGTCTATATAAGGGCCGGCAGGCTTTTGTTAGGGGTTCCTCCTCCTTTCTCCTGTCTGTGAGGGGGCACCCTGTTGCAATAGTTGAATAAAGATCAAGCTTACTAGCTGTTTGCTTCTCAATATTCTCTGGTTGGCCTCTGTTATTTTCTCCTACCGATGGAGAACCTACAAAGGACTCTACAAGGGCTCTTGTGTACCCCATAAGGGAATAAGGGCCGATTTTGTTTATTACAATATGCAGAGGGGGCGTTAACCACTCACCAATTCTCTACTGCAAATGCCCAGCAGGCAGTTCTAAATTGTTTCCCCCTCTAGCCTGGCTTCAAAATCAGGTGTGGGACCAGGTGGAAGAAATATAGTTGCAGTTGCTGGATAGCGGGCATCTGCAAAGAAGAATCAGTCTACAAGGGGCCACACATTTGCCGATAATAATGTTTAATTCCATCCCAAGTCCTTTGGGATAGCTGAAACATTGGACTGTGTCCAATGTTTCCCTTCAGAGAGTAGAAGTAGTCCTATTTGTGGCAAGGCGGCAATTTATGCAAGTGCCCTTCCCCTCAGCTGCTCTGGGGGGCAGTCCTCTGAACATTACCCCTTACACTCTTTTGGAGGGGGGGTCCAGTTAAAATGACTTCCTCCCTTCTCTTAGCAGAGGCCTCCATGCTGAATCAAAATCACTTCCACCAACAGAAGGGCAGCTCCGCACACAAACCTTTATCAATGGAACGTCAGCAGTTTTCATAAATACCAATTAAACTGGTGAGTCAAGACAACAATAATAGTTGTGGCGATAAGCCATTGGGATTAGGGGATTTTTGGAACAGCAGTTATTACACTTCATGCGAGGTTTGAAAGGCCTACTTGGCCTTCACAATAGTCCCCGAAAGGACAGTTTCCTGATAATTCTCAAGCTAAGCAGCTTCTGTGGCTCAGAATTTTCTACATACAGTGGTGCCCCGCAAGACGAATGCCTCGCAAGACGGAAAACCCGCTAGACGAAAGGGTTTTCCGTTTTCAATGCGCTTCGCAGGACGAATTTCCCTATGGGCTTGCTTCGCAAGACGAAAATGTCTTGCGAGTCTAGAGATTTTTTCGCTCCCCCTTTATCTAATCTGCTAAGCCTTTAATAGCCTTTAATAGCCTTTTAGCAGCTAATCCCCTAAACCTTTAAGCCTTTAATAGCCGCTAAACCGCTAATAGCGCTAATCCGTTAAGCCGCTAATAGGGTTGCTTCGCAAGACGAAAAAACCGCTAGACGAAGACTCTCAAGGAACGGATTAATTTCGTCTTGCGAGGCACCACTGTATGAGCTACGGTGCAGAATACAAAGGTTTGCCTAGTGCTTTTTCCCATGTCCTAAATCAGGTCTGCACTAAAAGTGGCCATCTATGGCCAGACCAAAGGACTTAAGAAGTCACAGTCCTGGGCCAGCTGACATGAATATGGGCAAGTCATAGAATAACAGAGCTTCCTGTGTTTCATAAGGCACAAATGGCGCTGCTGGGTGAGACTGGGGGTCATCTAGGCCATGGGCAGGCAAACTAAGGCCCGGATCCGGGCCAATCGCCTTCTAAATCCAGCCCACGAATGGTCTGGGAATCAGTGTGTTTTCACATGAGTAGAAGGTGCGCTTTTATTTAAAATGCATCTCTGGGTTATTTGTGGGGCATAGGAATTCGTTTATTTCCTCCCCCCAAAAGAATATAATCCGGCCCCCCACAAGGTCTGAGGGACAGTGGAACAGCCCCCTCCTGAAAAAGTTTGCTGAACCCTATTCTGGGCCAACCAGATCCTTCTGGGACACTTTTAAATTGAACATGAACAGAACAACCCACTTCTAGTCACCTTCAAAGGCATTTTGCCCTAGAACACTGAGGTTCCATTTAGCCATTATGGGTAATGGGTATAGATAGACACACCCCTCCCCAAAGTGGTCTAATCCTTTATTTAATGCAGTCGAAATGAACTGTGAGCAAACACACACCCCCCTAATGACAGTTTCCACCTCCATATTCATGAGTAAGGCACCAATTTATTGCTATCTGGCCCAGGGCATTCACGTTGGGCATGTGTGTAAAGAGACAACTCCCATCACCCATTACAATCAGCTAAGTTGGGTGGGGCTGATGGGACTTGGAATCATAGAATTGGAAGGGATCCCAAGGGTCATCTAGTCCAACCCCTTGCAATGCAAGGATCTCAACTAAATTAGCATGACTTGTTAACCAACAGCATATAGAGGGCACCATGTTGGGTAGGCCCAGAATATTATTACAGAAAAAGCACCTAATTAGAGTTTGCAGGAAAAGGGGTTACTCTAGAACCTTTGGTTAGAGCAGGCATCTCCAACCTGCAGCCCTCCAGATGTTTCGGCCTACAACTCCCATGATCCCTAGCTAACAGGACCAGTGGTCAGGGATGATGGGAGTTGTAGTCTCAAAACATCTGGAGGGCCGAAGGTTGGGGATGCCTGGGTTAGAGGCCAGAACCGTGAAGTTCTGCCCTTAAGTGCAGTGGGGGTTACTCCCCACAAATTGCCAGACTGGGGCCTTGATCTTCACAGAATCACAGAATTGTAGAGTTGGAAGAGACCACAAGGATCATCTAGTCCAACCCTCTGCACTGCACGAATCCTTTTTGCCCAACGTGGGACTCAAACCCACAACCCTGAGATTAAGAGTCTTGTGCTCTACCAATTGAGCTATCCCAGGTGAGCCACAGCATGGCAGATAGGGGGCTTTAAGCCTTTGCCCCGTGCTGTGGTTGTAATCCAGATGAGGACCCCCATGCACTGGGAGAAAGACAGACAGACAGACAGCAATTCAAATTGCAGGTGTTGGGGGGGCCTCTGATCTGAATCAGGACTGAAGTGGGGACAAAGGGGTTAAATTTACAGCATCCTACCACTGCTGCCGAAGAATTGATGCTTTTGAATTATGGTGCTGGAGGAGACTCTTGAGAGTCCCATGGACTGCAAGAAGATCAAACCTATCCATTTTGAAGGAAATCAGCCCTGAGTGCTCACTGGAAGGACAGATCCTGAAGCTGAGGCTCCAATACTTTGGCCACCTCATGAGAAGAGAAGACTCCCTGGAAAAGACCCTGATGTTGGGAAAGATGGAGGGCACAAGGAGAAGGGGACGACAGAGGACAAGATGGTTGGACAGTGTTCTTGAAGCCACCAGCATGAGTTTGACCAAACTGTGGGAGGCAGTGGAAGACAGGAGTGCCTGGCGTGCTCTGGTCCATGGGGTCATGAAGAGTCGGACACGACTAAACGACTAAACAACAACAACAACAGCACTGGTGTCCATTCTATAGTACAGATCAAGGACCACACCCCAGCCATTTGTGGGGTGAACACCCTGCATTCATTGGGAGAACTACCATGCAGTTAAGTTCATGCTGGGTTGTGCTCTCACAGCTAAACTAAAAAAACCACAAGGAGACAGCGCCTAATCTAGAAAAAAACGAGAGAAAAGATGAACTCCACAAGAACTCCTGGTGTCCCCAGTAGTTCAGCTCAGTTTACATGACACAATCTCTCTTTTTCCCCCTATCCATGGCCTAATTTAGATTGCCGCCCATCCGCGTTATCAGAAGACATAGCAACAGAATGTAACGTTACAAGCGGCCCGAAAGAAATGTAATCTAGTGACCTAGTTGCACATTAACAAAAAGTCCCATTTCACTATTTCAAAGGATAAGATGGCAAGGAACACAGAGCTCCTCGGAGGATTGCAATGAGAAACTGCAGAGTTTGTTACCTTGTTCCGAGAGACAAAGAAACAGCTCTAAGGAAGCCACAGGAAATGTTAAAAAATATCAATAAAGCTCCGCAAGTGACCTTAATTATAACAAAACAAAACATCATTTCTGCCGGCAGTGACTTCGATTTGCGAAAGGTTGAGGCACACTGCATGAAACCTGGACACATGTTTCAAATTCTGAAATAATACGTGCTTTTAGATAAGTGTTAAAAAACTGCCCATCTTCAGAGGAGCCAATCCCCTGTGGCTCTAATGAGTAACTAATCTAGGCATGGCTTTTGATTGATAGGAAGCAAGCCCAGAACACTGACTCACACAGAGATACAAGAGTCTCTTCCATGTCTGCGCATAGAAAACTGAAATCTGGTGCTGAAATCCGACAGGACCCCTCCTCAGCGGCAATACCGGTTTGCAGAATGCTCTCCCCGGTGGCGCTGTGGGTTAAACCACAGAGCCTAGGACTTGCTGATCAGAAGGTTGGCAGTTCGAATCCCCGCGACAGGGTGAGCTCCCGTTGCTCGGTCCCAGCTCCTGCCAACCTAGCAGTTCGAAAGCACGTCCAAGTACATAAATAGGTTCCGCTCCGGCAGGAAGGTAAACGGCATTTCCATGCACTGCTCTGGTTCGCCAGAAGCGGCTTAGTCATGCTGGCCACATGACCCGGAAGCTGTACGCCGACTCCCTCGGCCAATAAAGCGAGATGAGTGCCGCAACCCGAGAGTCGGTCAGGGGTCCCTTTACCTTTACCTCCCCGGTGGAGTGTGTTTGTTTCCCTTATTAACAACATACAGGAGGAATTTTAACACATTAAATAATTAGCCAGAAGAGTATGTGGTTGTTTTTAAGTGTGTTTTTATTTTAATTGTATTTTCACTGCTTTGGTTTTTTTTGCCACTCTGGGCTCACCTGGAAGGAATGGCAGGATAGAAATTTAAATAACAACAACCACAACCATACCCAAGCAGAGGCTGTTTGTAAGGAGCCAGAACAACAAATAATGTTAGGATACTATCAGTTCACAAGCCTTATATTACTGCAAGGGAAGAACAGTGCTTTTACAACAGTTCAAAATTTGGAAATTAGAGGATTAGAGGAATCTGTAAGGCACCGTACAGAACCCTGGTGTGTGTGGGGGGTTTTTTTGGCAGGGGATATTAAATTATGACTATTAAGCCACTCCTAATATCATGATATAAAATTCAAGTTAATGCTCTGCCACCAGAACACTTTACAATTCTAATTACTACTTTGGGTTATACAGAATGCACATTAACATGTCCAATTACACCTGCATCCTATAAATCTTCTGAGAGAAGAAGGGACACTAAAATGTTTCCTCCCATAAATGTGGGAAGGGGAGGGGAGGAACCAGCAAATGAAATGTTCATTAAAAAATTATGCATAAGGTTTCTTAATAAAATTGTAATAACAACATCCTTGTAAGCTGCTTTTGTCCAAATCTTTGTGAGGGTGTTTCTGCTATGGGGCATCGTTTAACCAAATTTACTATATAACTGAGGGGAGAGATTTCTCTTATCCTGAGCCGAATCATCAGTGGTATCAAACTGGCCAGAAAACCCCATCAAATAAAAAAGTTTTTTTCTTTCTTTCTTTTTTTTAAAAAAAATATTTGAATTTTTCAGTTTTACATACACCAATTTTTCTTAAAAAAAATCCACCGCTTTTGGGGGATCTTTATGTTACGATTTTCACCTCTTCTTTATAACTCCAATTAAAAGTTTTCTATCCCACCTATTCCACGTTGTTAATAATTTCTTTTTGAGATATACACACCCGTCAACATGCATGGACATGCGCCAAGAAACAAGCACACACATATACACATGCGCAGAGTTGCACCCAACATTTGGGGGGAGATGACCTCACGTGCAATCTGTGCCTGTATGTGACATCATGCGCATCGGGTGCGTGACGACTGTGTTATAAGAATTCTAAGGTCTCAAATACAGAATAAATATTCATAAATGCACACATATCTAAATATATGAACCACGCGTCTGAAATAGTATAGGAGAGCAATCCTGAAGCCATTCTGACTCTCCCAATGACCTCAAATATTCCTCTGCTGTAAGGGAGGCAAATGGAGGGAAAGCCTTACCACTGTGTTTTTGCTTGCAAATCCTATCTTATGGGCATATTTGTGTATGAATAGGCTGAGCCTATGATCTGGACTCAGGAACTAAAGTATTAACCATTACAAAAGAATGGCCAGGCTGCCCAGGTAATGCAATCAGCGACCATTATCAGGTATCCTGGCAGACAGGATTTCTGCCGTAGACCGCCTCCTTCTGTGATGTTTGTATGATGGGGGGGTTGGGGGGTCTTCGGCTACAGGGTGGGCAATTTCAAAAGTCAATACAAGCACATGTGCACCATTTTTCAGGGTTCTCCTCCTTCCTGGGTGTGGGGAGTGGGGACCCTGTTGCAACAGTTCCTTGAATAAAGATCACGCTTACTAGCCGCTTTGCTTCTCAATATACTTTGGCTGGCCTCTGTTATTTTCTCCTACCGATAGGGAACCCACTTAACGACTCTATACGGGCTCCTGGATACCCCATAAGGGAAAGGAAGCAGTTTTTTCTTATAACAACTGTTATAGGCTGCAATCCTGTACAGTGGTACCTCTGGATGCAAACGGGATCCGTTCCGGAGCCCCGTTCGCATCCAGAAGCGAATGCAACCCGCGTCCGCGCTTCTGCGCATGACGTCCTTTTGACCGCCTGCGGCATGTGCGAGCAGCGAAACCCAGAAGTAACGCGCTCCTTTACTTCCAGGCCGCCACAGCACGCAACCTGAAAATACTTATCCCGAAGGTACTTCAACCCGAGGTATGACTGTACAGCCATACCTCGTGTTGCGTTAGGTTCATGTTGCGTCTTTTCAGCTTGCGAATGCAGCACACATGTGCGCGCAGAAGCGTTCTGCGCGCTTTGCACATGCACAGAAGTGCTCTATCATGCTCCCCACTTGCACAGAAGCGCCACTCTAGTTGCGAACTTTTCGGGGTGCAAACGGCACCCCAGAACAGATCATGTCCGCAGCTAGAGGTACCACTGTATATACTTGCCTAAGAGCAACTCCCCGTGGGACTTGGCATCGTGCCACACTTTATACAAGAGGGAGACCATTTTGTGCCCCTCAGAATTGGCGAGTGACCGCCAACGTGAGGGTCCATTTGGACCCGGGAGAAAGCAGGATAGAGAGGGCTGAAGTGTGCTCTGCGGACGCACGTGGGGGCCAGGAACAGAAGGCCCCGCGCAAAATGGTTGCCGCCCGCACCCTTGAGGCATAAAAACCTGTTTTGCGAAGGAATCGAACGAATGGCAAACCACTTGTGATCCGAATGTGTCCACAGGAAAGACTGCGACCAAATTAGTAGTGGGAAGCCAGAAGGAAACCTCAATCAGCCAAAGAATACCTCACTATAATAATATAATAATAATTTATTATTTGTACCCCGCCCATCAGGCTGGGTTTCCCCAGCCACTCTGGGCAGTTTCCAACAAAATATGAAAAATATAATAAAACATCAAACATTAAAAACTGCCCTAAACAGCGCTGCCTTCAGATGTCTTCTCAAAGTCAGATAGTCACTAAACCCAACAGCCATTTAAAAACCAAACAAGTGGCCATTTTACCCATGGCTGTTTGGAGTAAATCTGAAAGCGACCGTCCCTGTGTAGAATCATAAGCAATAAACAGGCCAGATGCAATCATTTGATACATTTTCACTTACTTTGCCCTGTCAGGGAGTCAGGCAGATTTTCTTGGTGGCTGCTCCGTCTCTCCTTTTCAAAATATCCGCTCATTCTGTCACATTCTCCACTCTCCTTATTCAGAAAAACTGGAAAACTAAGCAATCTGACCTAACAAAACGTTCAGCTGTCTTCCACTGCAGCTAAGCCAGCAATATTTCTCTGA